TAGCATACAGTATACAAAGAGAACACAGGTAATTTGGATAGCAAAAATGTAAGATGCATGGTGGGGAGACAAGGGAAGGGATGCAAAGAATAGCAGGTAATGTTTTGTGAGCCCTGATAAGAAGTTCTTCTTTTATTTATTTATTTATTTATTTATTTATTTATTTTTGTACCTATTTTCCCACTTCAACCTAAGCTGAACACCACTTTCTGGATAATCTTTAAACATAATGTACACTACATCTTGCCTTTGCTTAACAGTCCACTTTAATTTTCCATTATAATTCTGCTAACACCATTTACAGGGGAGAAGACCAAGGGCTCAAGAAGTTCAGAAATGTGTTTAAGATCACATAGGTCACACAACTTTTAGATAACAAAGCAAGGGAGCCAGGTGTGAGTCACTTCTGAGTCACTTCGATAATCCCAGTGACTCAGAAGTTTGAGGCAAAAGGATCATAAATTTGAGGCCAGCCTCAGCAATTTAGTAAGACCCTGCCCAAAATTAAAAAAAAAATTACATAGGACTGGGGATGTGACTCAGTGCTACAGTGCTTCTGGGTTCAGTCTCCAGTGCTGAAAAATAAATGAATAAATAAATAAAAATAAACAAAACAACAATAAAAAAACCAAAGCAAGTCATTAAAAATGTTTTACAGGGAGTGGTGGCACTTGCTTATCTATAATCCCAGTGGCTCAGGAGGCTGAGGCAGGAAGATTGCAAGTTGAAAACCAACTTCAGCAATTTAGCAACTACCTAAGCAACTCAGTAAGATCCTGGTCTCTAAATTAAATGTAAAATAGAGCTGAGTTTATGGCTCAGTGGTTAAAGCCCCTGGGTTTAATCCCCAGTAGGGGGAGGGGGAAGGGGCTCTTAAAAGCTGGGTGCAGTGGCAAAAACATCTGTAATCCTAGCTACTTGGGAGGCTGAGGCAGGAGAATGCTTGAATCTAGAAGTTCTTGGCCAACCTAAGCAATATAATGAGAACCTGTCTCAAAAAAAAAAAATCATCTTTATGAAAACCCTGTAAATTATGAGAAATGAATGTACAAAGGAATGTACAAACCTGTTGATGAGCATAGACTATGTTAGATAAACAAATCCACCTATGATCACAAGAGAAACAGACAAGTTCCAATTGACATTTTACAAAATACTTGACCAGGTACTCAAACCATCAAGGTCATCAAATACAAAAAATCTGATGGGGCTGGGGATGTGGCTCAAGCGGTAGCGCACTCGCCTAGTGTGCGTGCGGCCCAGGTTGGATCCTCAGCACCACATACAAACGAAGATGTTGTGTCCGCCGAGAACTAAGAAAAAATAAATAAATATTAAAATTCTCTCTCTCTGTCCCCCCCTCTCTCTCACTCTCTCTTTAAAAAAAAAAAAATCTGAGAAACTATTACAACTGATTAACAAAATGATTGTATGATTCAGCTTGACATGACTGCTGACGTTTTGAGCTATAACTACTATGACTGCCTCAGTGTAATTCTAGATAATTTGTTTTGTTTTGTTTTTTCTTTTGGTACAAGGGATTGAACCAAGGGGTGCTTAACCACTGAGTCACATCCCCAGCCCTTTTTAAATATTTTATTTACAGATAGGGTCTCACTGAGTTGCTTAGGGCCTTGCTAAATTGCTGAGGCTGGCTTTGAACTCCAGACCCTCCTGCCTCAGCCTCCAAGCTGTTGGGATTACAGGCATGTGCCACCATGCCTGGTTCTACCTGGTTTTTCCTGCATAGTTTTTCTTTTTTTTTTTTTTTTGATTTGGTACTGGGGATTGAACCAAGGGGCATTTTACCACTGTGCTACATCCCTAGCCATTTTTTGAGACAGGATCTTGCTGAATTGCTTAGGGCCTTGCTAAATTGCTGAGGTTGGGTTTGAAGTTGTGATCCTCCTACCTCAGTTTCCAGAGTCTCTGGGCTTACAGGCCTGCACCACTAGCCTAGCCTCCTGCATAGTTTTCAAGCACACTATAAATAGAACTATTAGTGTGGTATGTGGAACTTTACAACCTGATCCTGGCTCTGGGAATATGTCTGACTCTTTGATATTAGCTTAAGATAAGTCAGGTACTCCAGCTGGAATGAGTCACTTCTATTATAAAGCTCATAGACATGTCCCATGATCCAAATTGTGGGCACCCAACTGTACATTGAGGCTGGTCCTGATACACTAGGATTGGGTTGTTCTGGAACACGGAAATGGAGCCAAAACTAAATAAATCTGAATAAAGCATGGACTTTCATTAATAAATCAATATTGATTCATTGGGGCTTGGGTGTATCTTAGTGGTAGAGTGTGTACTTAGCATGTGTGAAGTCCTGGGTTCAATCTCCAGCACCACCCCATATACTCACTGGCACAACAGATGCATGAAACTGGTTTACTAAATTTCTAGCAAACATATCTTTACTCCTGTAAGATGTTTATAATAGGGGAATTGTATGGAAACTCTCTGTACTATTGTCATAATTTTTCTGAAAATCTAAGATGATTATAAAAATAAAATTCAGGGCTGGGGATGTGGCTCAAGCGGTAGCGCGCTCGCCTGGCATGCGTGCGGCCCGGGTTCGATCCTCAGCACCACATACCAACAAAGATGTTGTGTCCGCCGAGAACTAAAAAATAAATATTAAAAAAAATTCTCTCTCTCTCTCTCTCTCTCTCTCTCTCTCCTCTCTCACTCTCTCTTTAAAAAAAAAATAAATAAAAAAAAAAAAATAAAATTCATCTAAAAACATATGGTAGTAGGCTGGGTTGTGGCTCAGTGGTAGAGTGCTTGGCAAGCATGTTGTGAGGCACTGGGTTTGACTCTCAGCACCAGCACTGCATATAAAGAAATAAAATAAAGGTCCATTGACTACTAAAACAAAACAAAAAAAATTAAAAACAAAAATAAAACAAAACACATGGGAGTGCTGGGTTTGGTGACATATGCCTGTAATCCCAGAGGCTGAGTTGGGAGGATTGCAAATTTAAGACCAGCCTTGGCAATTTAACAAAACTGTAAGCAATTTAGTGAGACCCTGTCTCAACATATAAAGGTTTGGGGACATAGCTCAATGATAAAATCCCCCTGGATTCAATTCCAGGTGCAAATAAACAACAACAAMAAAAAATTAGAGGGACAGGCGTGGTGATGCATATCTGTAATCTCAGCAACTTTGGAGGATGAAGCAGGATGATCACATGTTGAGGCCAGCCTGGACAACACAGCAAGACTGTGAATCAAAAGATGCAAAGGGCTGAGAATGTAGTTGCTCAGTGAAAGAGCTCTCTCTGGGTTCAATTCCTAGTACCTTCAAAACAAAAAAACAACAATATCACAAAACAAAACATATGAGAGTGCAGGGCCCCATATATGTAATTCCAGCTACTTGGAAGCTGAAGCAGAAGGATAGATAGCAAATTCAAGGCCATCTTGGACAATTTAGTGAGAATCTCTCAAAATAAAATTAACAAGCATAATAAAAAAGGGCTGAGGATGTAGCTCAGTACTAGAGAGCTTGTGTAGTATGTTCAAGGCCTTGGGCTTAATGTTTGTTTTGGTCAGAGAGTATGGTATGTATTATACAATTCTTCAAAATTTGAATTACCTCAGTTGAGAAATGCTTGTCTTAGAATGTGAATGATTTTTATTTATGATCTTGGTGTGCTTAACAAGAATGAGCCTAGCTGGCAAGATCGTGTAGGCCTATAATCCCAACAATTTGGGAGGCTGAGATAGGAGGATCTCAAATTCAAGGCCAGCCTCAAAAAATTAATGTGATCCTGTCTCAAATTAAAAAAGAAAACAAATTGGGGCTGAGGATGTAGCTCTGTGGTAAAGTGCCCCTTTGGATTTAATCCCTGGTACAAAAATAAGTTTGTGTGTGGGTTGACTGAACAGGTTATCAGGACTGTGGCACATGCCTGTAATCCCAGTGACTCAGGAGGCTGAGGCAAGAGGATTGCAAGTTTGAGGCCAGACTCAGCAATTTAGCAAGACCTTCTCTCCCTCTCTTCCCCTCCCCCTCCCCCCCCTGGGTTGGGCTTGAAGTTGTGATTCTCTGAGAGAGAGAGAGACAGAGAGAGAGAGAGAGAGAAAGAAAGAAAGAAGTGGGTGGTGGTTGGGAATGTAGCTCAGTAGTAAAATGCCCTCAGATTCAATCCCTACTTTAAGAAAAAAATTTTAAAAAATGAAGGATAAGAGGATAAGGCTGGGATATAGCTCAGTGATAGAGTGCTTGTTTAGTATATGTGATGTCCTGGGTTCAACCCCGAATACTGCAAAAAAAAAAAAAAAAAACAGTCCTTAAGTTTTGGGTCTATGGTTCTATATATTCATTAGATCAAGTTTGTTGATTGTGTTGTTTAAAAAACAAACAAGAAAACAAAGAAAAGGCTATTGCAGCAATCCAGGAGAGATGATGGCTGGTTGGGAGAGAGGAAGATAGAAGTGGAAGGATTCTAGATGTATTTGGGAGACAAAAGGGATAGTGATGTTGCCTTGGTGGTCGGTGGGAGAGAGAAAACTGAAGGAGAGGAGGCATGGTAAACTGGAGAGACGGGGGTGGGGGGGTGGGGGTGGGGGTGGGGGTGGGGGGTGGGGGAGCTATGCAAGTGAGACAGGAAACCTGGGAGAGATTAGAATCTGTTTTTTCCCAAGTAGGTTTCTTTGCTTCACATAGTGGAGAAGAGGGAGCTGGCAATATTGGGATTTGGGGTTGGGATTCAACAGCTTCTCGTCCTTTTCTAGAGCTCTCAATATTTCTATATGATAACACTTAGCAAGATGTGTCACATTACAATATATTGCACCACTGATATGAACTCACAAAACAATGACAGAACTCCTGCTCCGCCTCGCCGGGACTTTGACCCGCAACTGGCCCCGCCTTCCCCCACTCGCCCAGCCGCCCGCCTCGCCCCAAGGGGCTCCGCCCCGCCTCGAGAGCAACCGTTTCCTCCTAGTCTAAAAGGACCGCAGCGATTGACGAGTCTGCTCTCCAATCATCATGCCGAGTGACCAATTAGGTGATAATAGAGGCGGGTGCCGAAGCATGGGATGGGGGTGACCAGGAAGTGTGAGCTGAGACTGGAGGAGGACGGATCAAGCCCAGGCGACTGTGAGAAGGTGACCTGGTATCTGGATTCTCCAATTTTCTCTTTTCCMGGGGCAGGTGTCCCTTTGCAGTTGGTAGCTAGGATCTCCATTTGCCCTTTCTTTGGGGGAAGGGGGTGTGTCAACTTATTGAAGCCTTGGAGGATCTTGAGATTCCTTCCTCTTACTTTGCCTCGGAGCAGATCCTTCTCTTAGCCTGAAGTGGGGACCTCTGCGGGGGCCTGTAAGGTTGGGTGGTTAAAGTCCTCTGCACTCAGGCCCAGAGAAAGGGTGATGGTGATCTGACAGACGCGGTTTCCCCTTCCGGAGAGTTAGACATCTCCAGGTGCGGTCGCAGGTGGTGAAGGCGAAGGTGGAGGGGCCCTGGAAACCAGATCAGGGAACTGGGAATACGGTAGATATTGGGGGCGAAGGAACGACTGAAAAGAAACATTTACGCGGGGCTACGGTGGTTTTCTAAGTGGGCGAACCTAGGCGAGGCGGGGACACGGAGGTTGGGCTCCAGCTCTAAATCGCCTTAGTACCCGCCTTAGAGCCGTCAGCTTTTTGCCTCTTTTCTTTCTCCTCAGGCTTGAGGAAACACCTGAATATGTGGAATCCCAGCGCCGGTAGGTGTTTGGGGGAATCTCCTCTCCCAGCCCACTCACTTTCCAATGGGCCGCACAACAGGAAGTTTTCTTGTATTAACAGCCCCCCCCTCTGTCCCCTGCCTCTGCCTCTTGGTTCACCTGCAAAAACGAAGTTCTCCTCGGCCCACTGCTACCAAAATTTTGGCTTTCCAGAGTTCATTGTCTCTTTCTCCCCAGCCCTGCCAGGACGTTTTCCTTTTTCTCCCCAACTCACGTTTCTCTCGCTTAACCTCCCATCCCCTTGCCTTTTATTTTCCTTTAAGTATTAGGTAAGAAAGTCGATCTATTTTTTTTTCTTTTTTTTTGTCAGAGGTTTTGGGTTATACTAATATTTACTTGTTCTCTGGTTCTTCCACCAGGGCACCCAGGGCCAAATCCACAKCCCCCCAACTTGGGGTACCCTGGAGGTTCCAATCCTGGGTATCCACCACATCCACCACCTGTCAATCCGGCTTTTCCTCCTGGTCCCTGTCCCACTCCCCCAGGACCTCCCCAGGGGATGCCAGGTTTTCCTCCAGGTGTGTCCCCTTATCCTGTTCCACAACCAGGATATCCAGGACATCAACCCTCAGGTCCCTACCCTCCTCCATACCCACCACCTGCCCCTGGTATGCCTCCTGTGAACCCCATGGCTCCTGGCATGGTAGGCCCAGGAATGATAATGGACAAGAAGATGCGGAAGAAAATGAAGAAAGCTCATAAAAAGATGCACAAACACCACAAGCATGGCAAGGTCAGTGTCCTCTGGAGCCCTGCTAGTAAAGGGTTGTCCTTGAAAGGGACTAGGTGGGCAGGGGTTGGATGAGGGGGTTTCAGAGTCTGGATGGACTCTGGGTTGCTCTGGAAGATGATTCTTGCTTTTTGTAAAGGAATCCTACTGGTAAGAATCAGATAATCTTGAGATTTCCGGTCCCTTCCATCTGAAAAGGGCAAAGGTGAGCCTTAGAATGAATATCAGAATCAAAAGTCCCTCTTTTCTACCTTACTCTTTCCCAGAACTTTTGCTCCCTGCCCCTCAGGTGTATACTTTAGCAAGTTGGACACACCCACTGAAGTTGTACARTGTCAATTAATTGAGTCAGCCCTTTGACAAAGCAGTGTTATATAATAATTAACAGAATAATAATCTGGTCCTAGTTCCTGGAGTTTCTTTCTCTCTGACAGTATTCTTAGGGTGTTATGTTAATTACATAGGTGCTTTCTGTGACTCATCCTCAGACAAAGCCTAGGGCTAAGGGGGTTTCATGCTTAGCTTCRTGGCAAAGAATCTTCATTCTACAGGAGTGCTAATTAGCAAGGGTAGAAGCAGCTCTGAGGACTTGGGAAGGAGTAAACTAACCTGGATTATAAAGAGGACTCAAATTACATTTTATTTGTTTGCTTTGTGGATTTGGGTCTTTTGTAGAAAAATCTGAAGAGAAGAAAAGGTGAGATTAATGAGGAAGAAATTACCCTGGAGAGATTAAAAAATGTTTTTAATGGTAGTGTTGATGGGAGTATCCCTATAAGGCACTTTCAGTAGGACTTCCCCAGCCTTCTCTCCCATCTTCCCCACTTCCTCCCTTTTGGGGCTTAGGAAAAAAGTAGATATATATGCACATGCACCTGCCATTTCTACTTTCTTAAGAGTCACAGAATCCAATTTCTTAGATTTGTAGGGACTTTGAATGCAGCTAACCAATACACATTTATAAGGTAGCAGCTGTTTCCTGGCTTGGTACTGTGCTTGTGCCTATAATGTATTCCTTACCTGGACATTGGCTCTGGTATGGAAAGTTGTAAACTTGCTCCAAAGACATCATATTAAGTTCTGTGCCATTATTTAGGATGACTTAATCCTTTCTGGGATGCTCACTGCTGAAGGAATTCCTTGCTTTTGTTGTTTAAAGGACAATCTGATTCAAGATTCCTGCCCTTTGAATACTTGGGTGGTGGGGTGGGATACCAAAGAATGACCCATGCATTTATCAAAGGTCATTTGGATCTGATGCTATGTCCTTTCCCCTTTCCCCTTGCAGCATTCCTCCTCTTCCTCCTCTTCCAGCAGTGACTCTGACTGAACACAGGGCCTGGACCCTCCCCTCAAGTCTCACCAGTTCTGCTGTCCCATCAAGCTTCAGCTGCCGTGTTGTACTGGGGAAATTTAGCCCTTGTGCCCCTCCATCCTGTCCCCACCTGAGCCTTACCCTGCTGTTCAGTCCTGACTGGCTAGGGAAAATGGGAAGAGGATTGCAATGGGCTAGCAAAGGCAGCCTTCTCACTGCTTGATAGATTTTATAGCTGAAAAGTTTAGCAGGGAAGCTGGTTTTTTGAAGATGGTGAGACCTCTGAGCTAAATGCTGAAGACAAGTTTAAGTTCTGTAAAATGTGATCTTTTAAAATTTCCTTTTAAAAGGGGGGTTTGTGGAAATTTCACTATGATGAAAAACCTGTACACTTTTGTAATGATGGCACACTGGGGTGAATTAGTGGCAAATATATTTCCCAGCAGTCCTTTTATTGATTGTGCTAACAGCAAGGCTGCTGGGAAGTAGAGTCCACTTGGCTGATGATCTCTGACTGCCCTTTTGTAAGCTAATCTCTACTCCTTAACAAAATATGCTATCTTAGGTCCTACTCTCATTCTTCAAATCTGGGTCCAAATAAAACTATTTCTCCTGATCTCTGTTCACCTGTGCCATTACCTTGGCTGGGCTCAGCACATTGGACTACTTTTGCTACCCTCTGCAGTCCCTTTCAGTTTTTTCAGTACTGTAGTAAGGGACCAGAGCATCAGCGAGGAAGACACTCTACTATTGCTATGTTTCATAAGTGGGAGGAACCTTAAAAACTGGTTCASTCTTAGCAGAATGAATCTTTATTGTGTTCCCTTGGATGAATGGATATAAGCCTTTAGCATGTTTTTGTACCTGGCTGCAGAGGTTTTCAACCACTAGCTATGAGAGAGAGACAGAGCCCAAATAGTCTCAATAAGATTCTTTATGGGGCTTGGGGTTGTGGCTCAGTGTTAGAGCATTTGCTTAGAACATGTGAGGCCCTGGGTTCAATTCTCAGCACCGAATATCAATAAATAAAATAAAGGTCAATTGACAACTAAAAAAATATTAAAAGAGAAAAAAAGATTCTTTATGGATGTGGCCTTACAAATCAATAATTTTATGAAACTGGGTGAAACTGATGCATGCAAAAATTGAGGGCCACTGTCTTACTATATATATGCCATGCACAGTACTACACACTGGTTTTTTTTTTAATTAATTAAATTTCAAATTATTTATTTATTGGTACCAGAGATTGAGCCTAGGGGTGCTTAACCACTGAGTCACATCCCTAGCCCTTTTTTTTTAAATTTCTTTTTCAGTTGTTGATGGACCTTTATTTTACTTATTTATTCATATGCAGTGTTAAGAATTGAACCCAGTGCCTCATACATGCCAGGCAAGCACTCTGCCACTGAGCTACAACCCCAGGCTCCTTAGCCCTTTTTAAAAATACTTTATTTAGGGGCTGGGGATATAGCTTAGTCAGTAGGGTACTTGCCTTGCATGCACAAGTCCCTGGGTTCGATCTCCAGCACCACAAAATAAATAAATAAATAGGGCTGGGAACTTAGCTCAGTGGTAAAGTACTTCTGGGTTTAATCCCTGCTACACCTCCTCACCAAAAAATCTTTTTTTTTTTTTTCCAAAAAATCTTAAAAAAAAAAATTGGGGGGCTGGGGTTGTGGTTCAGAGGTAGCACATTTGCCTGACATGCATGAGGGCACTGGGTTCGATCCTCAGCACCACATTAAAAAAAAGAAAAAATAGAGATATTGTGTCCACCTATAACTAAAACATAAACATTTAATTTTTTTTTTTATTTAGAGACAGGGCCTTGCTAAGTTGCTGAGACTGGCTTTGAACTTGTGATCCTCCTACCTCAGCTTCCGGAGCCACTGGGATTAAATGTGTAATACACTGGGTATTTAAAGATAAATTGAGTGGAGGAAGAGGCATTTAAGAAAAGTAATTAATAAAGATAAATGCCAGATGTATGGCGTATACTATACTTAGGAGGCTGAGGCAGGAGGAATGCAAGTTTGAGGCTAGCCTTGGCAACTTAGCAGGATCGTGTCTCAAAATAATAAAAAAATTAGCTCAGAAATAGAGTGCCCCTGGGCTCAATTCCTAGGGTACCAGAGGGATAAAAACATTGAAATAATTATCATTGGGAGGGGAGAGGAGTCAAAGATGACATCACAAAAAAAAAAAAGGGACATTTGAACTATCTCTTGGTACTTGAGAGGGTAGAAAAGATAAAAAGATGAATTTACCATGTGGAGGGTAAAGAGCTAGGAATAGCCTGTGCTTAGTGTAGAGTCATAAAGCTCCATGGCATGTTGGGAATCACAGGTATCCCAGTGGGATTAGACTGATATTCTGGAAAGTTTATTGAGGAAAATACTGTGTTGTAGGTGATAAGCTACAAAGAGGTATAAGTCAGTCACTGCCTTTCATGACCCGAGAGATCTAATAGAGCTGATGGATACAGGAATAGAAAGAAAATACTGAACAAGGAAAGCAATGGAGGTGGGGAATTAAGCAGTGAGGGAGCAAAGGGAGGAGTGACAGTCTGACTGGAAAAATGAGCTAGGGCTGGTTTGGGACTCCAAATGACAGGAGTTTCCTAGTTCCTAGTAAATATCAGCTAACCATTTACAAAGCATTTCTTTTTTTTTTTTTAAGAGAGAGAGAGGGGGAGAGAGAGAGAGAGAGAGAATTTCAATATTTATTTATTAGTTTTCGGCAGACACAACATCTTTGTTGGTATGTGGTGCTGAGGATCGAACCCRGGCCGCACGCATGCCAGGCGAGCGCGCTACCGCTTGAGCCACATCCCCAGCCCTACAAAGCATTTCTGATGTGCCACGCACTAGGTGCTTTTCTTTATAACTTCTGTAAATATTCATGGCAACTGTGAATTCGGTATTATTGTTTCTATTTTTGAATATGAGGCAAGCTGAAGTACTTAATAACTGCTCGGCATGGTGGCACATGCCTTTAATCTCAACAACTTGCAAGGCTGAGGCAGGAGGATTGCAAGTTCCAGGCCAGCTTATGCAACTTAGTGAGATAAAGAAATAAAAAGGTTGGGGACTTAGCTCAGTGATAAAGTGTCCCTGGGTTCAATCTCCAGCATAATAAAAATAAAAAAGGACTGAGAATGTAGCTCAGTGGTAAAACACCCCTGGATTTCATCCCCAGTGTTGCCTCCCACCTTGGAAAATAAAATTAGATAACTTGTTCAAGTTCAGGTGGTAGTAATGGTTCAGGTGGATTAGAGCTCAAGCAGTGTGGCTCTTGAGTGTGGACTTTTAACCTAATGAGTTTAGGAAGAATAAGGAGCTTCACAAAGTCACAGAGTTGTAAGAAGGTGAGAATGAAGTTCAGTAGCTTCCACACCCATGTTACTGTATAGGCACTTGCCAGAAGGAATGTGGTTGGAGGAGTGGACTTGAGGGATGTCTTAGAGGTGGAACCACCAGCCTGGAACCGAGTGCTGTTCTTGAAGAAGCAGAGGGAGGGAATGTTCTGTTGGCTGTATCTATAGCTTGTTCCTGCAGAGAGTTATGTAAAAGATGTTTGAGATGTTCCTGTATTTTATAGCGAGGTTTTAATTTTATTAGAACATCCAAAGCCAAGACTCACTTTTCCATTGTCCTGGAATGGGGACCATTCTAAGATTATAAAGTTTTTTTTCAGGGCTGGGGATAAAACTGAGTTGTAGAGCACTTGCCTAGCATGTGTGAGGCCTGGGTTCTATCCCCAGTACCACCCACCAATTTTTTTTTCCTTACTCAAGTTTTCCTTTATCAATTCTTCCTTTTTTTTTTTTTTTTTTTTTTTGATACCAGGGATTCAACTCAGGGGCACTTAACTACTGAACCACATCCGCAGCCCTTTTCTTTCTTTTCTTTTTTTCGGATTGGGGATTGAACCTAGGGCCTTGTGCATGTGAGGCAAGCACTCTACTACCAGAGCTATATCCCCAGCCCCCACAGCCCTTTTCTATATTTTAAGACAGGGTATTACTAAGTTGCTTAGAGTCTTGCTGACTTGCTGAGGCTGGCTTGGAACTCACCATCTTCCTGACTCCGCCTCCAGAGCCACTAGGATTACAGGCATGTGCCCACCATGCCCAGGTTCAACTCTTCTTTTTTGAGAAGAAGGGAGATGTGGGCCTGAGAGAGGATTGTAAATTGAAGAGAAACAGATATTGATAAATAAACCAGAAATAAAGGAGAGACAGTGAGAGGGAAATGGGGGGAGAAAATACAAAGAGAAATACAGAGGGGCTGGGGGTATAGGTCAGTCGTAGAGTATTCACCTAGCAGGCACAAAGCCCTGGGTTCAGTCCCTGGCACCATGCAAAATAAATAAGAAATAAAGAAATTGGGAAGAAAATTAACTAACCCCCTTTTCCCTATTTCTAACTGGGGAAAATGCATCTCCCCTTCCTGACATTTTTTTCCCTCCACTGGAGATTGAGCCCAGGACCCTGTCCATGTTAGGCACGTGTTCTACCACTGACCTACACTTTCAGCCCTACAATTTGATATGTATGTATGTATTTGGTATGGGGGATTGAGCCCAGGGTACTCTATCACTGATCAGCTACATCCCCAGCCCTTTGTATATTTTGAAGCTGGCCTCAGCTTCCAAAATTGCTGGGATTACAGGTATGCATCACCACACCTGGTCCTACACCTTTATATATATATATATACTGGGAATTGAACCCAGGGCTGTTTACCATTGAACTATGTTTCTGCCCTTTTTATTTTGAGACTGGGTCTCACCAAATTGCTTAGGGCCCTGATAAATTGCTGAGGCAAGCCTGGAACTTGCAGTCCTCCTTCCTCAGTCTCCCAAGTTGCTGGAATTACAGGTGTGTGCCACCATGCCCTTTTTGTTTTATTTTCGAGACAGGGTCCAGCTAAGTTGCTGAGGCTGGCTTTGAACTTGCATTTCTCCTGTCTCAGCCTCCCTAGTTTATTGGATTACAGGTGTGCATCATTGTGCCTGGCCTTGCAACATTTTTTTTTTAATATTTTTTAGTTGTAGATGGACACAATACCTTTATTTTATTTATTTATTTTTATGTGGTGCTGAGGATTGAACCCACTGCCTCACATGTGCTAGGCAAGCGCTCTGCCACTGAGCCGCAACCCCGGCCCTGCCTTGCAACATTTTTAATAGGATGTTCAGTGAAAAATAATCATCTCATTCCAGATTCCCACAAGACAACCCTGACTACCAGATTCTTTTTTAAACCTCTAGAGCTAGTTATTCTATGCATAGTCAAATCTTCTCTCTTTATTTCTACCTTATATTGTTCCTATCATTCTTATCCCCTGTTTTATATCAAATAATAGCATATTATTGGTTCTCATTTGTACCTGAGTTGGTTTGTCTGTTTATGTGTGTGTATTATATATGTGTGTGTATATATTTATATGATTATAGGTGCACATTACTATGCCTGGCCATTTTGTCTTAAATACACTTAACTGCTATAGTGAATAGAGCTTTAAAAATTGCACGGGGCCGGGCATGGTGGCTCACACTGTAATCCCAGTGGCTCAGGAGGCCGAGGCAGGAGGATCATGAGTTCAAAGCCAGCCTCAGCAATTGTGAGGCTCTAAGAAACTCGGTGAGACCCTGTCTCTAAATAAAAATTCAAAATAGGGCTGGGGATGTGGCTCAGTGGCTGAGTGCCTCTGAGTTCAATCCCCAGTACCAAATAAATAAATAAATAAAATTGCCCTGKGCACAGTGGTGTACACCTATAATCTCAATGACTTAGAAGGCTGAGGCAGGATGATCTTAAGTTCAAACCCAGCCTCAGCAACAAAATGAGACCCTGTCTCAAAATTTAAAAAAAAAAAAAAAAAAAAAAAAAGGGGTGGGGATGGTGCTTAAGTGCCACTGGGTTCAATCCTAGGTACCAAAAAACTGGAAAACCATGTTATATCTGATTTTGAGAGCAATATCTGATTCTGGAGGGACTACTCTGTTAAATATTAGGCATTTAATAAAGATTCAGATTTCAAACTGAAACTCTGAAAAGAGTGGGCCTGTATTCCYTAAGGCAGGAATTCTGTCCCTGAGTATTGGTTATTTTCTGTAGAACTGGTCCTGACTCTAGTCTTCCTGTAGTCCTTCCCATGCCCTAGTGAGTTCTTTCTCCCAATTAGTTGCTTGCTGGTCTCCTGAGAACATTAGTTTTGCATCCTCTGATTTGTTGGTCAGTACAAGTCTCCAAAGATGGTGGTTCTCAAATGTTTTTATTTTATTTTTGGGGAGCTACACCTTCATCCTCCCATCTCTCTCTTTCAAAGATGGCTGCAACTCTTGGCCAGCTCAATATAGCATTGGATCTTTGTTTTATGCCATCCCAGCCATATTATAGATGATTCTATAATAATGTTTTAATAATGATTCTATAATAATCACTTTCACCATTTGTTTCAGAGCCCCAGGAGTACATATGATTCAACTGCAAAATCTTGAGATTGTTCTGACTTTCAACTCAGTTCACACAGTAAATCTGCTCTTTGGTTTGCTTTTTTTCCTGAGTGTCCTGACATTTTCCTACTTCTTTCCTTTCAGTACTTGGTCTGTCTTTCATCTTTGCCAAATGATAAACTTATTTTTCTGTTTTACATTGTGCTTAATATCCAGCACCTCCTTTGGGGGTTGGGAGGAAAGACATTTTAGTCCTCAAGAATTATTTTCCACTTTAGGAAGTGATCTCTTTTCAGAAGACTCCACTAATTTGGGGCTACCCAATAAAACTTGGCTGATATTGAAACCAGAACCAATGCTCAAATTACTTGAACAAGGTTTAATAGTAGTCCAGTATTTGCTGTCTCAGGGGTACTTTATTACTGAGACACATCTCTCTAGTCATTTTTATTTTTTATTTTGAGACAAGGTCTCACTAAGTTGCTTAGGGTCATGCTAAGTTGCTGAGGCTGGACTCAAACTTGTGATCTTTCTGCTTCAGTCTCCTGAGTCAAGGGGATTTACAGGCATGATTCGCTGTGCCTGGCTGTTTTTTTTTTTTTTTTAACTTTTTAATGTGGAAATTTATAGATAGAAAGATAGAGAAAATATTTTAATAAACTCCTACATTCCCTAGGTAAATACTAATTTAGTAATCAATATTTTGCCAACTTGTTCTATTTCACATAATTTTTTCTAGGTTTTATTAGAAAACAAGAAAGACTTTATCATCTATAGGGGGGCATGGTGGAGCATGTCTATAATCCCACTTACTTGGGAGGCTGAGGCAGGAGGATCACAAGCTGAGGCCAGCCTGGGCAATTGGGTGAGATCCTGTGTCAAAAAATAAAATAAAATAAAATAAAAAAACCCTAGCTAGGATGTAGCTCAGTAGAAAGTGCTCCCGGGTTCAGTTCCAAATACGGGGTAGGGGGTTAACCAAAAAATACTGCTTTCACTCATACGTTGTTAATGTTTTGTCATATTCCTATGTGAACCATTTTAACATCTGTTTTATATTTCATGACCCTTACCCTTAAATATTTCATTGTGCATTTCCTAAAAAGGATTTTCCTTTGTAACCACAGTTATATTATCACAAAATGTTAACAATATTTCCTAATTTTATCTATCTTTGAATTTTCCTACTTGTCCCCAAAATGTCTTATATAGTTCCCTCCATCTCCAAATCAGGATCCAAGGAAGATCCACACATTACATTTGGTTATTAGTGCCTTTAAATTTTTCTTCCTGTGCCTTCATCATTTTTTTTTTTTTTAACATTTGTCATTTTGTAATGATCTGGCCACTTGACCTGTGAAATATCTCATATTCTGGGGTTACAAATATCTTATTTTATAATATTGGGGTTTAATTTGTACCTTAACCCTGTAAATTTTCTGTAAACTGCAAATTAGGTATAATGGCTTGATAAGATTAATACTAAACACTTTTGACAGGAATACTTAATAGATGATGTTGTGTACTTATTGCATCTCATTGAGGACCACACAACATCAAAGTTGTCCTATTACTAGTGATGTAAAGTGTGATCATTTACTTGAGTAAGGTTTGACTGCCAGACCTTTCCATTGAAATTACTTTTCGTTTTGTGCAATTTGCAAATAATCTGTGTGGTGACATTTGACATGTTCTTTAACAACGTTTCTCTTAAAAGTTTGACAGGATCATTCTGGGTTGCAAAATAGTGATTTCCTAACTCTTCCATTTCTTCTACATTTATTGGATGGGATTCTTTATAAAATCGGGCTTTCCCATATAAATTACTGATGAAAACGGACGGTAAATGCTTCTTTTAGTTAACAATTTCAGAATAAGGAGTTGGTGTAATAATCGCTTTCAGTGTGGCGAATTACATTTTTTACTTTTATTTTTTTTAGTATCAGTATAGACTACTGGGTTTTCCTTGTCTCTTCTCATATTCTCTCCACCTACCTATTCCTTCATCCACTCCACTTCTTGATCCATGGCGATTGCCACCTTTTTCGGCACTACGCCTGAACTTTCCAGTTAGTCCTCTAGGTGTCACTGGTTTCCCTTGCGTCCCTACACTGCCGCTCTATCGCACATCTCGCTTTTCGCAACTGACCATCTCGCTGGTGCTGACTCGATTCAAGGAGCCGCTCTAGGCTCTCGGGAGGCCGTTAGCATTGTGTGGGGAAAGTCTGGACTACGCGTCGCCTCGCCGGCCCCGGGGCGGTTAGCGCTTCCGGGGTCGAAGGGTGCGCGGGGTTGAAAGCGGGCCGCTCCGCCCCGTCCCCCTCCCAGACCAGCAGAGGCAGCAGCCGGAGCAGCCGCAGCCTGCGCCCTCTCCCGCCCGCCCGCCCTCCGCCCGCCCGCCCGCCCTCCGCCGCCCTCCACCCGCCCCGGGGTCTCTTTCCCCCTTCCTCCTCCTCCTCCTCCACCCCCCCCTTCCTCCTCCGCCCGCCCGCGGGGCCCCCCTTGCCTTCCCGCCCGCCCCTATTGTTCCGCCCCCGGCCTCCCGCCCTTCCCCTTCCCGCCCGCTCCCCTTTTCCCCTCAGTCGTCTCGCGCCTGCAGGTAAGCTTAAAAATTTCCCCTCCTCCCCCGGCTGTAGCTTCTGTTTCCACTCATGCCATCTTTCTTAGAGGTCTCCGGTCCTAGTCACGAGCCCCGGTCTCTCGTAGTCCCGCGTGAGCGCCTACCACCTCAGTCTCTCCGGCCGGCCACTCACGCGAGGACCTGGCTCTGGCGCGGCCTAGTAGGCCTCGCGCAAGGCCTACCCCCTCCCCCCGCCTTTTCCCGGTGGCGGCTGCGCAGGAGTCAAGGAGGGCGCGCGCGCGGTAGGGGGGGCGGCGGTGGATTTGTTGGTTGAGGGGGGTGGGGGAGGCGATGGCCGGCTTGCTGGCCGTGCGGGTGAGCGCGGCTCCCCGCGGGGGTCAGGCGCTGGCGCAGCCACACGAGGAGGCGCTACTAGTCCGGCCCCTCCCCCTGGATCGCAGCGCCCCCCCCCGACCGAACCGTTTATTTTTCCTCTCTTTTCTAATTGAGGGAAGGGGGGGCTAAGTGGAAAAATGCTTGGATGACCGAGGGGAGGGGGGCTGCGGAGTTAAAGAAAGGGTAGGCGGGCTCCCAGTTACCGAGTTATTCAGGACGTTCTTTCAGGGTAACGAATTTTAAAATTACAAAATGCCTGCCGATATAAACCCAGACCGAGCTATTTATAGAGGGGTAATTGACTGCATGATTAACAGCTGGATTCCTGGGATGGGGTACACTTATACTGACATGAGAGAAGTATGACAGATTTCTTGGATTGCTTTGATGGTTTGGATTTAAAAAATGCATATTTGTTCCTCACCTGAAGAAATAACTTCAAATGTTTCATTTCATGCCCTTGTGATTATTGTGGTATTTGTAAAGTACTTCCTATTACATCTTAGCTAGGAAATTAAGATTTTTTTACCATAATTAACTTAAAAAAGGAAATCATTCTGATGGACTCAACTATTTCTACCAAGCCATTTTTCCCCATGAGTGAAAAGTGTTGACTTGTGGGATTTGGGCAGCAATTGGCTATATTCTGAAAATAGGAAAATAATGTGCATTGGGAATGCACTTATATAATCACTTACATTCTGAAGTAGACAGGAGACAAGTTTGCCATGTACAGAATGGTGTGGCAATCACTAAAACGCTTCTGAAAGTATTTAGGGTCTGACCTTTGTTAACAACAAAATTAAAAGGGTGTCTGGTTTAGTGAAGGGAGAAAACTAGCTATAGGAGGAGTTTTGAAGGGATGGATACTGAATTATATCATTAAAGAAATTTAACAGAACTTGTGAGAGGCACTCTTAAAATTGGTCCTAAGGAAGTATTGAAGGCAAACACATATCCACAACCAAATTTTTTCTACATATCACTAAGCGCATTGTTTGAGGGGATGAGTGAAGAAGGGGATGTCTTGAAAACAATTACAAAATAAGTTTTTAGGTGTATTAGTTTTATATTGTCTTTTTTGGGAAGAAATCTAAGATTTAATAGATGTGAATAAAAACTGAGTGGCAATAAAAGTTTTGTACAAACAAAATAGGTTAGGGGGAAGAGAAAAGGACTTGATTGGACTAAATATATGGAGTCATTCCAAAGGGGAATGTGGAACTCCTGTTTGCATGGTGGCATCTGGGATAGATGCCTCTTTCAGTTAGGTTGTTGACATAATTTAAAAGTCATTTGATGTCATCTATCAACATTTGAAATTTTTAATGAGGGGTATTCTCAATTTCTTTATCTAGAAATTGCTACTATGAAGAAAATTTACTTGTGTTCTCTAGCTTGTAGTTCCAATTGTTACTCCACAGGGAATCAAAAGGTCATTTGCCCTTAATGTAAGTTGGTTAGTATGGGGTTTGCTCAGGTGTTTGAATGTTTTTGAAGCTTACTTTGTTGAAGGACAATTTGGTGCAAGTTCAGCAATTCCCCTAGAACCACTGCCAGTAGAAGGAATCTTCCTCATCCTGAGAGTCAGCGGAAAACCTATCATTTATGAGAGCAAATTGGAAAGTTGCCTTCTATACTCGGTAACAACCAGAGTTTTAAATGTTAAGCAGTTGTGCTGTGTGTGTGTACAAATTGGATAGGAAAAGAATCATTTAGAAAACATTGATAATGGCAGAAATAACGTTGGGAAATATTCTCCTATTGTTTTCTTCCTCTGATTTTGATCATGTTTGCATTTCAGTTTTTGGCTTTCACCCCCACCAGTGACCAAAGACTTGACCACTCAAAGTCCAGCTCCCCATAACACTKCTCGACATGGACACSGGTGTGATTGAAGGTGGATTAAATGTCACTCTCACCATTCGGCTACTTATGCATGGAAAGGTATGCACCAGCTTGGGAAACTGGGTCATAGTAACTGCTAGGGGAGGGGCCAGGAAGAGCAGACATGCATCTTGGAGCTCATCAGATTAACACTGTGGGGCGTCTGGCTTTAGTATTCTTCTCTAATGGAATAGATGTGAATATAGTGGGAAAGTGGACAGATTTGACTAGGAAGCTCCACTGAGCAGGAAATGCTTAACTAGAGGTTAGAGCCAAAGACTGTCTCATACCTGGAGAGTAAGATTTTTCTAATGGATGTTGCTATAGGTTGTAATAGGTAGATTTCACAAATAATTTTAGGGAAATTTAAGGGGGTAGTAAACATTTAGTTTTATAAAAGATAATTTATATTAAACACAGATGTAGTATTTAGCCACCACTATGTGGTTATTCATTTGAAATTCATTGATAGCTTTACTCTTAAATTCTGATTAAAGAATAAACCTTTATCTCCCTAACCCTCAGTAAATCTTAAAATCTCTCCTTTTTTGGTGGGGGTTGGGGTTATTGGGAATTGAATGCAGGGGAACTTTGCCACTCAGCTATATTCCCAGCCCTTTTTTCTATTTTTAGTTATAGTTGGACACAGTACCTTTATTTTATTTACTTTTATGTGGTGCTGAGGATCAAAACCAGGGTATCACATGTGCAAGGTGTGCACTCTACTGCTGAGCCACAAACCCAGCCCCACCCCCAGCCCTTTTTATTTTTGACAAGTTCTCCATAAGTTGCTGAGGCTGGCATCAAATTTATGATCCTCCTATCTCAGCCCCCTGAGTAGATAATATTATTATATTCATGTACCATCATACCCAGCTCTCCATTTCTTTGGAGTAGTACTTATCATAATAGCAGTTGGACAGCTGGATAGTTAGTTAGAATTTATTTTTCATAATGATGAACACTTCTGAATTTCCTCTTATTTACACTAGTTTTTTCCATTGCAGGAAGTTGGCAGTATCATCGGAAAGGTAAGAAGACAATTTCACTTGAACGCTAATTAGCTAATTACTATTTAGTCAGTCTGAGTTGAAAAAGCAGTTGGAGCTCATCATTGACTTTTCCTCTTACAGAAAGGAGAATCGGTTAAGAAGATGCGCGAGGAGGTAAGTTAGGGGCTTTTGAGTTTTGTTAGCTTTGGAAAGTGAAAATCTTTTAAAACATCTGAAAGTTCTGTTTGAGAGATTAGATGGGGGAGAGCTCTATAGGGAAAGTCACTATTTGTTTTACCTTGATTATTTTATTGGTGTTGAGAATTGAACTCGGGGCCTCACCATTCTTAAGACAAGTTCTGTATCACTAAGCTTCATCCCCAGTTCTGTTTCAGTTATTTGTAATGACAAATATATGCAGGAGTGTATGCTTTTCAGAGAGATCTTGGAGTTTATTCAGGACAGCTGGTATAGGCTTTGTTTGAGGACAAACATGGGACAGTGTTTGATTTCTCCCCCACCCCCCAGTGTAGGTAGGTAGCTTCTTGCCTATGTTAAAGAGAGGCTATACACATCCTATTATATGTTCTGATCTTTTTTGTCTCTTAATTACTTTTTTCTCCTTTTTCAGAGTGGTGCACGTATCAATATCTCAGAAGGGAATTGTCCTGAGAGAATTATCACTTTGGCTGGACCCACTAATGCCATCTTCAAAGCCTTTGCTATGATCATTGACAAACTGGAAGAGGTTCGTTGTTTTTTCTCCCCCACCTCCTGGTTTTTTTTGTTTGTTTGAGACAGGATCTTGCTATGTTGCCCAGGCTGCTTTTGAAATCCTGGGTTGAAGCCGTCTACCTGTCAGATTCTCTAGTAGATGGGACTACATGTTTGTATCACTATACCTAGCAAAAAAAAAAAAAGTGTTGGGGCCCAAACCCAGAGCCTCAAGTATGCTAATTAAGTACTGTACCACTGAACTATATCCCCAGCTCTTTTTTACATTTATTGCTAAGCCTTCTAAATATATTGTTATCCTCTTCCAGTTGATGGAGCTCTATTGAAACTAATATATTTCATTGATTGCAGATATTTTCCAGTCTGCGTGTTGTTTATATTAAAAAAGTATACAGATACTGGTAAAAATGTTAAAGTTGTACTTGGAGGGCGAGCCCTAGGTAATCAGAAGCAAAATAACCATATCAGAGGTTTTGTTATAAGGGAGTTGTTGTTTTAACTCTCAATCTTCAGAGGCCAAGCAACCATTGTCCTGGTCATGTGTTCAGCTCCCCGCTTGCCCTCCCTCTGCCTGCTGCAGTAATGCTGCTAATTGTGCAATTGATACCACAGAAAAGTGCTGCTTGGTTGGTGGTTGGTACTTAATGGTGCCTGAAATCCTATCCTTGCCCACATTAGAAATGTTATCTTTTTTTGTGTGTGTGTGTGTGTGCTAGGGATCAAACCCAGAGTCTTTTGCATGCTAGACAATTGCTGTACCACTGAGTTATATCCTCGGCAGTAAAAATGTTGGTGCAGGGGCTGGGGATGTGGTTCAAGCGGTACCACGCTCGCATGCGTGCGTCCCGGGTTCGATCCTTAGCACCTCATACAAAGATGTTGTGTCCGCCAAAAACTAAAAAATAAGTATTAAAAATTCTCTCTCTCTCTCAAAAAAAAAAATATGTTGGTGCATGGTGACACATGCCTGTAATCCCAGCAGTTTAGGAGGCTGAGACTGGAGGATTGAGAGTTCAAATTCAAAACAGGGTTGGGATGTGGCTCAGTAGTCGTGCTCCTGAGTTTAATCCCTGGTGCCTACCCCACCAAAACAATTTTTTTTTTTTTTTTGCGTATCATGGCCCTGTTAATTCTCCTGGGGTTACTTGTATTTTAAAAAAAAAATCAGGAAACATCTATTTTGGGGGGGGGGTAGGGGGTTTGAAACCAGGGTGCTTAACCACTGAGCCACATCCCCATCCCTTTTTATTTTGAGGCAGCGTTGCTGAGTTTCTTAGGGCCTCACTAAGTTGCCAAGGCTGGCCTCAAATTTAGGATTCCCCTGCCTCTGTCTTCACAGTCTCTGGGAGTATAGGCATGTGCCACAATGCCTGGCATACTGTCCATTCTTTAACCACATAAGAAACGTCCTTGATTTCAGGGGTTTAAGCTTAAGCATTTCCAAGGTCTCAGTACTAATAGAGATTAGTCTGAGAAATGACATTTAAACCACTTAATCTTCAAAGGCTAAACTTAACTAGGTTAAAACCATGACTTTTGGATGTGGGATGTTATAGGAAAGATTGTAGGCTTTGAGCCAGTACAGGTTTTGTTTTTGGTTCTAAGGGATTGAACTGAGGGTCTTATGCATTCTAAACCTATGTTGTCTCATTGACCTGTACTCTGAAGCTCCAGTAGTATCCTTTATATTTCAGAGCTTTTTATTTTTTATTTATTTTTTAAATATCTTTTTTTTTAAGTTGTAGATTGACAGAATGTCTTTATTTTTATGTGGTGCTGAGGATTGAACCCAGTGCCTCATGTGTKCGAGGCAAGCACTCTACCATTGAGTCACAACCCCAGCCCTACAGAGCTTTTTAGATGTGATCAGAGAAAATACTCTTGAGCCTGTTTCATCATCTATGAAATGGTACTTTTTTGGGGGAGGGGGGTATGCTGGGGATTGAACTCAGGGGCACTCAACCACTGAGATAGTTCCCCAGCCCTACTTGGTATTTTATTTGGAGACAGGGTCTCACTGGGTTGCTTCGCACCTCGCTTTTGCTGAGGCTGGCTTAGAACTCGCAATCCTCCTATCTCAGCCTCCAGAACTCCTGGGGTTACAGGCATGCACCACTGCACCTGGCTCATCTCTTAATATTTAATTTTAACCTCAAGATTCTTTTCCTGTTGCTTGTTAACTCCAATTTATAAAACAATTGCTTTTCTTTCTACTTATAGAATACTTTCTCTGAGGGTGAAAGAAAATTATGGCTACTTCTGAGCAAGTTTGTAGAAGCTGTAATCTTCATTTACTTTGGTGCAAGGCATGGCATTTGAACCTTTTTTGGGATGGTTATGGCATGACATGTTCTTATAGGAATAAATGGTTTTTGCTAGGTGTGGTGCCAAATGGTTGTAATCCTTAAGGATTCAGGAGGTTGAGGCAGGTGGATTGCAAGTTTGAGGCTAGCCTGGTCAACTTTCTCAAAATGAAAAAAATAGGACTGGTGATGTTTTTCAGTGAGACCCAGTCTCTAAATACAAAAATAGAGCTGGGGATGTGGCTCAGTGGTCAAGTGCTCCCGAGTTCACTCCCTAGTACACCCCCCAACAACAAGAACAACAAAAGAGACATGCCCATAGGTCTCACACATCCCTACCCCCACATACACAAGAGTAAATGGTTCTTTTATGGAAGTTACAGGTTCCTAAGGATCTTCTTAAATGTGTATCTTTTTAATATTCTGACCAGCTTTTTTCTTTTTGTAGGACATCAGCAGCTCTATGACCAATAGCACAGCTGCCAGTAGACCCCCGGTCACTCTGAGGCTGGTGGTCCCTGCTAGTCAGTGTGGCTCTCTCATTGGAAAAGGTGGTTGCAAGATTAAGGAAATACGAGAGGTTGGTTATGCTATACTTAAACGTTAACTATTCTAAATGTGGTTCTGTTGGCTCTTGATATAATTAGGAAATGTTAGCACTTGATGAAGACTGACTAAAATAATGGTATTAAAGGACTACAATGATTGAACTGAGAGTAAAAGTACTATAATTTTTCTTCCTTTTTTACACAATTCAGATTTTATATCATTATTTAGTGGTTCTAGGAATTGAATCCAGGGTTTGTTTTATACTACACAAGTGCTTGCTTTCTCATTGAGTTGTATCTATTTTTCCCATTAGGACTGTGATACTCGTATCCCAGGCTGTGTGTGTGTGTGTGTGTGTGTGTGTATAATTAATTTTTTAAGCATTTATTTTTTAGGTGTAGGTGGACACAATACCTTTATTTTGTTTTTATGTGGTCCGGAGGATGGAACCCAGTGCCTCACACATGGCTAGGCAAGTGCTCTACCTCTGAGCCACAACCCAAGCCCCTGTATATTGTTTTTATTTCATTTATATATATATATATATATATAATATATATAAATTTCTTTTTTAAAATAAATTTTTTAGTCATTGGTGTACCTTATTTATTTATTTATTTATTTATATGTGGTGCTGAGGACTGAACCTGAAGCTTCACACATGCTTGGCAAGTGCTTTGCCACTGAGCCAAAACCCCAGCCCCTTTATTTATGATTTTTCTTAATATATATATATTTTTTAGTTATAGTTGGACACAATACTTTTATTTATTGTATGTGGTGCTGAGGATCAAATCCAGGGCCCTGCATGTGCTAGGCATGTACTCTACCCTGAGCCACAACCCCAGCCCTATTTACGTTTTTGCTTCTGGAAGTGGGGTGCTTAACACAGTTATATACGCAGCCCGAATTTATTTTTTTATCTTAAGACAGGTCTTGCTATGTTGCTTAGGGCTTCTTGAGTTCCTGAGACTGGCTTCCCACTTGGAATCTTCTTATCCTCCTGAGATATTGGCATTACAAGTGTGCACCATCATGCCTGGCTTATTTTTATTTTT